TATCATAATAGCGGTAATTTTTATTAATTAATTAATGTAATATCTTTTTGTATACAAAAATTTGTTGTAGTATACTACAACAAATTTTTATAAAGCACATGTGCACCTTACCGCCCTTGTAAAATTTGCATTTTTGAACCAATTTTTATCGCTCTTAAAGCTAGGCATTTTTTAATTTTTTGATAATCAAAAAAGTGACGTGAATAAACACATTTAGTGAATATTTTAATAGAACCAAATGCTTCCTAAGAAACGACAAAATTTACCATAGTGTAGGTGGTAGTCTAATAAACATGTGCATAAAAAATTATCAAATTATTAATTAAAATCTGACTGAAAAAATTGTCAAGCCAAGCGTTAATAAATTATTTTTATTTTTCAGATTGATTATGAGGCCTTTATAGGTGGTGACACCTTAAAAGAACACATAAACTGTTCAGAAAGTTTATCTCTGACGAGATATATATGCACCCAATACATGGGGGGATGAGCAAGGCAATCATCCCCTTTACAACCCTGGTCTTGTTAGGGCTATTTTTGATATGTTAAATAATGTTTTATACAAACTAAACATATTTTTATTGCAGGAGCTGTGGGTACCAATAAACACTTTGATCCACCAACGCGTGTTGAACTTCAAAGAGAGGTAACGGCGAGTGGCAAAAGTTTTGCCGCAAAACAGCGTCAACGTATTACCGCTAAAGCCTGATTTATAGATTTCCTTCCTTCCTCTCATAAAAGATGAACAATACGAAAATCGTAGTGCCATTTATAGATTTCCGTATGGGAATCTTTAAAAAGCACAACGGTTTTTGTATTGTTCATCTTCTACGGGAGGAAGGAAGGAAGAAAGGCAATCTATAAATCAGGCTTAAGCGTCGAGATCCAAACGTAAACAATGAAGATTCCATAAGGCTGCGCCTGTTTGAAGCCGATAATTTATATAATAATAAATATATTTATTATTCTCGGCTGAAGGACGAAAGTCAATGGCCTTTTGAGAAATGTATTTTTTTCAATAAAGAACATTTATTATTATTATTATTATTATTATTTATTAATATATAAATTATTGGCTTATAAGGTTATTCTGTTGTGTATATAAATATTTATATTTTATTTCTTTGTAAATATAGGTATTTTTGTAATAAAACGACGTTTGAAAAAATTCGAGTATGAAAATTTACGCCTAACCCTCTTGTTAAAATAACAATACCAATAAATGAGGCATTACTGATTTTGGTGGCAATTTGCCGATAACGTATCGGAAATTAAAATCAATAGGTAAATGAAGCGTTTGGAACCAGAGTGGCCTAACCCACAAATGTTTTTTCTTAAATGATGTTACAATCATTTTAGGACAATATATTTTTCGGAAATGAAAAACTATATATAGGTATATATTGTCCTAAAATTATAACCCCATTTTAGAATAAATGTTTGTGAGTAAGGCCACTCTGGTTCTCAACGCTTCATTTATTAATTTATTTTAATTTCTGATTCGTTATCGGCAAATTTCCACCAATTTCAGTGAATTTGAATAGGTAAATCATTTCCTATCCGTTGTCCACAATCAGTATACGCAAAAGGTTTCCCGTCTGTTGCCGGTGGGTTGCACACTATAAGTTGTCAGGAAACATTTCCGACTATAAACTCTTATGTTGTCCACAATAATTATAAGCAAAAGGTTTCCCGTCGGTTGCCGGTGGATTGCACACAATATATTGTTAGAAAAGATTTTTGTCTACAGACAGTCAAATGGTGGCACCCACTTGACAGCAAACGGCTACCATATCAAGAGAACGAATAGTAGGCAACTGACCGGCAAACGGAAGGACGCTGGTTATCTGGGAAGGGAATTAATTCTGTGTTACCTAACGCAGAATTAAATGGAAGGGAATTAATTCTGTATTACCCAATGCAGAATTAAATGGAAGGGAATTAATTCTGTGTTAGTTAAGACGGAATTAAATAGGAAGGAATTAATTATGTGTTACCTAACGCGAAATTAAATGGAAGGGAATTAATTCTGTGTTAGTTAACACAGAATTAAATAATAAAAATGTGAAATTGTCCTTTCTACGCCTTCGTAATCTTCTGATATAAGCATAAAAATAATTTTTGGAAGTAAATCTTTTTAAAAACTTTTGTGTTTTAAGTGTTTAACTTTGTTGTTTATAATAATACCTAAATATGTTTTTAATAAACTAATAATTACTTATTATAATAGTGTCAGAATTCGTAAAATCAGCAAGAAATATTTGTTGTTCTCAAAATAAAGATAATAAATTAGTCTATAAAATTAGTAAATAAACTTAAAATAAGTTTTTTTTAAAACTAATCATTTAAAAAAAATATTTTTTATTTAGGTATTGGGCCTCGAAAAAATCTGGAAAAAATAATGAGGCACATTGTGCCCTTGAATTCCTCCGAAAAAGGAGCCAATTTTAGTTTAACTAAAATAATAAAAGTGCAGCCGAGCGCACGTCGGTATTTTTCAACTCCCGGTGCGTGTTCACATCTTGTTTATTTACAAATGTATACAAGGTGGAAAAAATTGTGTTCAATTTTTTTACAAAAATTAATATTCTTAAAAAATCAAAATTTACTTTTAAACCCTACTAACACAGCAAACGAAAAATTATAGAAGTGTATAGGATGACTCGGCGTTTGAATATCAAATCTTAAAGTTTTATCATAACTGTATTGAATCGTGCTTTGTTTTTATATTTTTCGGCTCTATACCTATGCACGACTATATTTAAAGTCAAACTCAATGGTGTCTTACAAGATACATTATTTTGATTTTCTATATTCAACAGAGGAGTAGAAACTCGACCCTGTCGAATGGTGCAGTCATATATGTCTCTAGAAATTATTAAAAAAGGGTTCAGTCCAATGGTGCAGCAACTTCGGATTCCTATTCTCCTCAGAGACATAGAAACTCAAGCTTTTCGAATTTTACTGGCAATGATTTTCGTTATGTGTTATGTGTCCCCGAGAATTATACAAAAACAGCGCAATGCAATATCGCAACGGTTTCGACTTCTCTTTACTCTACCAAGTTATAGAAACTGGAGTCTCTTTAATACTGTTCTAGTCAATATTTCTGAGAGTATAAAAAGAGGGTGTAATATTGCAAGAAGTTTTGATCTTTTGATGAATGAATTTTCTCATTTCTCCATATGATTTTGTTGAAAATAGTTCCTTTCTTTGGTTCCTTTGTCTGATTTTTATTTACCGTAACAACTCAGGTATGTAAAGCACAGAGGATATGATGTTAAGTATATTTATGTATTATATAAAGTACCTATATTTGTATTAAAAATTTAAGAGGTTATGTTGAAAAATGATCGATATGCTATTAAACTTTAATAATTTAGTAATTAGGTCTGTTGGTAGACCCTGCACTATCTCCACTGGTATAGTTTTGTAATATTTAAATCTGGTTGATGAAAAAGTACACACCAGTGCAGGTTATTGTAGCATCTACGAACAAATGAATTAATGGCCCATTGGCAATTATTCCTTTAGGAAAAATATTCAACACACCTTAATTAATTAATAAAATGAAAAAAATCACAATCATGTCGTATATAGTTTTTTTTAAGCATAAAATAATTTTTATATTAAAACTAGTTCAAAAGTGAAATTACGACCTCTATACTGTGGAGAGTATTGAAACGCTCGACTGACGAATACCACTCTATACCGTAGGGAGATTTAGAAATCGATATTCAAACGTGGCGTCATCCTATACACCTCTATAATTTTCCGTTTGCTGTGAACTCAAAAACCCCTACAAAGTAAGCAATACTACAGAATTTATTACTTTAATGCCAAATTGCAATCACCTTCGCCGTGAGAATTGACAAAAATGCCAATCGCATTTGACCCCAAAATCAAATTTTTGGAACAATGGATTTGTGAAATTGGATTTGTGAGTATATTGAATAAATTAACTGCCACATCTCGTAGACCATTATTCCCATTGACTTAGTGTAGAATGGAGAGAAATTTCCGCGTCTGCGATTTTCATACTGTTTTGAAGTTTTAACTGTTGTAAATTCAAGATTAGCTTTGGCATTAAAAATAAAAACAATACATGTATTGTTTAAAATCTATAATAAGTGCCTACTCATACCCTAGTAGCAATGGAATGCGACAAGATTCTCCGGAAAGATACTTGGAGAAGCACTTTATACACAATTTGACAATTCTTAAGAATCAATTGATCAAGACACTTGACCAAGATTCTTTATCCAGACTGGCTCCAGACTTGGGCCAGTCTTGGACCAGATTCTTGGCCCAGAGTCTTGAGATAGACTTAGGCGATAAACTGAAAACGACAAGCGCGCCTCCTATTTCCCTACTTTCACTTGAAAGTGAAAAGTATAGCATTGCAGTGGTTCTCAATTATAATGTAATAAGTTTGAAAACGTCAGTTCTTTACAGTTTAGCCTTGAGTTTGAAATAATGCCTCAAAAAAATTGATTTCAGATTTTTTTTATTTTTACCTTTTCAGTAATAAACGAATCTGTTGAAAAAAATTAATAACTCCGGAAAAAAATTTTGAAGATTCTCTTTACTCAACTCTTGCATTCTTTTTTTACTTAGCGATTCAATTATAGAAACGATTTTTTTTTTCCTTAAATATTTCCATATTTGATCACTCCTCTTGTATTTTATAGAATATAATAAAACCTATTTCTTTTTAGGTTTTAACACAATGTGTATTTTTTTCAGTTTGGTTTTAAAAATAAGGTTTTACTTTTTAAAAAATACTTTAACGCTTTTAACATCATTTAGTCAAAAATGTAACACATTTCCACTAAAATTAATTTTTAGTGACACTATTTAGTTTCAAATTTTAAGATTTTTCTAAATTATTATCAAGATGGGTTTATGGGTACCTAACAATTTGCCTCTAACTAAGTTAATAAAAGAAACGGTGAAAAACAAAAATTATTTATTTTACCTAATACAATTAGGTATTTTGTTCCACACCCAAAAGTCCTACTTTAACATTTGAATACAAATAATTGAGGTCATATATCTGTCATTTCAACGCCAATTTCGTCTTATAATAAAATAATAAATTATATGTATTTTTTGTTTATACAGGTCTTCATTTAAACACAAAATTGTTAAATGCATATATTGTATTTTTAGAAAATAACACGAAATTAGCGTTAAACTGTCAGATAGAGATGCATACTCAACTATTTGTATTTAAATGTCAAAGTGGGACTTTTGGATGGAGCACAGTACCATTCAAAATAACACAAACGTCAACCAGTTATGCCTATTTAAAATATTTTATTATTTTACAATGTCGGAATTATAGTACAATAATAATAACTACAAATTATAACTTCATAAATAATAATAAAAAAAACAATGAAAAAATTAGGGCTGTGGTTGAGGTTTTTCTGGAGTTGGTGGAGGAACTTTAGCCTTATTCCACTCCTTCAGGCCTTCTGGTAGAGCGGTGTCCTCTTCAAAGGAGCCGGTGCCTTCAACGAATTCTTCGTAAGTAGATTTTTCTGGGAAAGGCCTCTTTCCCAATAACTCAATCATATCTTCCCTGCTTATGATTTCTTGCTTCAGCAAGCGTTCTGCGACTTTCTCGACTTGTTCCTTATGAGACAGCAACAGCTTAGTGGTGTTTTTATGCGCACAGTCTATCAACTTCCTTACTTCCGAGTCTATCATTTGTGCTGTTGTTTCAGAATAGGGTTTTTCCAATTGCATTTCGCCCTCTCTGGGCATATCAAAACTAACATTTCCAACTTTATCGTTCATACCATAGTGCACGATCTGCGCATAGGCGCTCTGCGTAACTTTCTTAAGATCGTCCTGAGCGCCGGTAGTGATTCTCTTGAAGAATATTTCCTCGGACACTCTCCCGCCCAAAGTCATGCACATTCTGTCAAACAGCTGCTCTTTGGTGTAAAGGTATTGGTCCTTGGGCAAGTACTGGGCATAACCAAGTCCTTTTCCGCGAGGAATAATGGAAACCTTAAGCAAAGGATCGGCATATTCCAAAAACCAACCGGCCACAGCATGGCCGGCTTCGTGATACGCCACGGTACGTTTTTCTTCAGGCGAAAGTACGTTGGTTTTTTTCTCCATGCCTGCGACAACACGTTCTATAGCCTGTTCAAAATGTTTCATATTAATTGAGTCGTTTAAATCTCTTGCTGCAATCAGCGCAGCTTCATTGCAGACATTGGCGATGTCGGCTCCGGTAAATCCTGGGGTATGCGCTGCCATTTTTCTGGAAAGATCAATCTTATCCAAGTTGGTTTTTAATGGTCCCAAGTGAACCTTGAATATACTGGCTCTTCCTTTAATATCGGGAGCGGGTACGAAAATCTGACGATCGAAACGACCAGGCCTCAACAAGGCCTTATCCAAAATATCAACCCTGTTGGTCGCCGCAAGGACCACCACGTTTGTGGTGGTATTAAAACCGTCCATTTCGACTAAGAGTTGATTTAAAGTGTTTTCTTGTTCAGAATGTCCACCGAAATTCCTTCCACCTCTTTTACGACCGACAGCGTCAATTTCGTCGATAAACAGGATGCAAGGCGCGTGTTTCCTGGCCATCGAGAAAAGATCTCTTACCCTGGATGGACCAACGCCGACGAACATTTCCAAAAATTCCGAACCTGACACGGTTATAAACGGTACGTTTGCTTCCCCTGCTGTCGCTTTGGCCAACAAAGTTTTACCGGTACCAGGAGGACCTAAACAAAATAGTTTTAGAGGGTGGAATTTTTTATAGATATCGCATGCCAAAATAAGTTTAAAGAAAATGTTTAATAATACCAGTCGCGAAGCGTATGGGTAGACAAGGGAGACAATGAAAGTTTTTTATTCCAAACTTTAAAAATTGTAATATTCTAAAAAAACCTGTGAAATTGTTTAATTAAATATTTTGTTTAATTAAATATTCTGAGCTGCAAAACCAAATTTTGGGATTTAGCGAAACCGAGCCAATAACAGATTGTTTTTGTCTATCTCAATAGGCCAATTTAATTACACTAGGCAACAAATTTTAACTTAAAAAAAAGGTCCTGGTTAAAAATAGAATTTTTAGATTGTTTATGACTGAAATCGATCCAAAATGTTTTAAAAAAAAATTTCTGAAGTCGGAAATAAAAAATAGGAGCACAGTATTTTGGTACCATTTATTGCATAGATTTGAAAATTTTAGGATGACGTTACTTTTAACTTATATTTCAGCATTCCATGAACAACATATCTGTACATATTGTAAAAATTTAAGGCATTTTTTTTATTCTTACTATTTTTTATCGTTCGAATTATTTTGTTTACTTATTTTTATCGTTATTATTTAACAATTTTTTTTTGTATCATGGTGCTGCCAGTATCGTCTAAACGAGACTTTGGAAAATTTTTTGGTCGCCGGATTTGCGTCGAGCAGGTGAAAATCTATAGGACTGTGCTATTTTTATTACCGACCTTTTTTATTTACTTATTTTTATCGTTATTATTTAACAATTTTTCTTTGTATCATGGTCCTGCCCGTATCGCCTAAACGAGACTTTGGAAAATTTTTTGGTCGCCGGATTTGCGTCGAGCAGGTCAAAATCTATAGGACTGTGCTATTTTTATTACCGACCTTTTTTATTTACTTATTTTTATCGTTATTATTTAACAATTTTTCTTTGTATCATGGTCCTGCCCGTATCGTCTAAACGAGACTTTGGAAAATTTTTTGGTCGCCGGATTTGCGTCGAGTAGGTGAAAATCTATAGGAGTGTGCTATTTTTATTACCGACCTTTTTTATTTACTAATTTTTATCGTTATTATTTAACAATTTTTCTTTGTATCATGGTCCAGTCCGTATCGTCTAAACGAGACTTCGGAAAATTTTTTGGGCGCCGGATTTGCGTCGAGCAGGTTAAAATCTATAGGACTGAGCTATTTTTATTACTGACCTTTTTTTATTGCTTACTAGTGTTATCAATTGCCGCACGCGTCATTTATTATTAAACCACTGACCGGTTTTATAAGTAGGTAGCTTAGGCAGGCTTGGTTAGTGCCTCAGCACAATTCTGATCGCGTTAAGGCACTAACCAAGCCCTCCTGAGCGTAAAACCTTAATAAGTTTTGTTTGTAAAATTATATACAGTATATGGTCTGGTGAATAGGATACCAGCTTACACAAAAATTCTCCATTAAAAAAAATGTATTGTACTATGTAACAATGAAGCACTAAAAAATGTTGTTCTATTGTGTAGAATTATGATATTTATAAAACCATATATGATTATAATAATCTGTTTTGTTTAATACAAAAACGCGGCGTACCAATAATTTTAGATAAAATACCAATAATTTTAGATAAAATACAATTTATTATTATGAAATTAGTAACGGGCTGTATTTTTTAATTTTAATTTTCAAGCATACAAAGACTGCACTCTTTCATTGCGTTAAATCTTATTATTTAAATTATTAAATATTACCAATTATTTAAGTACGCGATTTTATACCAATTTTTTTTATCTACCCCTACCCACAAGAAAATTCTACGCTTTGCCACTGGATAATAATAAACAACTTAATGAAATCATTTTTGAAGTTGTTTTAAAATTTGATTTTTTTATGTTTATGAATGTAATTAAACAGTAACTTCAAAACAATAAAAGTTAATAAATCAAAACCGTTTGAAAATAAAATAATTAAAATATATATATTTATTTTTTGTATGTTTAATTCTCCCTATTTTTTATGACTACTGTTCTACTAAAACAGTTCCAGATAAAATCCAAAACTTTCTGATTCGCGCGTCCTATTTCAGCACATACGCATTTAAATCACAAACTGTCAAGAATTTTTCCGTGACCATAGACATATTAGGAGTGGACGCGTAATCAAAACGTTAAAATGTGGACAAAACTGAACCAAACAATGGCGTAATATAACGAAGTCAGCCATAAGCCACGTGACTTTGAATCTGATTGTTTTTTTACATTGTGTATTGTATATTTTAAATATCCCACTTTAACAAAGTATAAATAATCTGAAGAACAATGCATCACCAGCTGACGATGGGATTAAAACGAAAATTGTGAAGAACATCAAAGATATTATAGCTCCATCTATATCAAAAATAATAAATAACCATTTTAAACAAGGAACTTGGATAACACAGGCACAGAGAAAACAAAAAGGTCAGGAACTTTTAACAAAATGTCATACATGTCATGTATTCCCATGTATTTTAAGCAGCTAAAACCAAATCTAACTAGTACCTTTTACGATTGGTTTCCGAAATAACCTTAAAAAACCAACAATATATTGATTTTTCCGCCAATTTGAATATTTTAAAATTGACAACTTGCTAAAATGGTTTAATCTTTTTTGAAGTCAGTATTTGGTGAGCTAATATTGAAACACAGCGCGAAAAAACAACAGCCGAAACTAGACGAAGACTTCACCACATACGAACAAATATAGAAAATTTTAGACCTTACGTTGAAGACGCAATACTTGAATAAGCCCGCAACCGAAATATTGGAAGAGACACAATCTTCGCCCAACAGAGCAAATACCGGAAATCCAACGCTAAAGGGGAAGAGGGCACGGACACAGAAGAACTAGACGCATTACACGACAAATAAACGTTGGGCCCCATAGCGAAATAACAACACCCAGCCGCAAGCATGACCCCAAATGCTTGTGGTATTACTAAACGCCCCGGTCTAGGGGAATTTCGCGTTGTACCTAGGTTTGGATCGGCGTTCTTATCCTCTGAAAACCAGTTATCAACTGAAAACCAGTTTTCAGCTCCTCTAGCCCTCTGGGTGTATAGTTCGCATAGTGCACAATTCAGAGAAGGGTCAATGAAACCATTGACATATCGCTTACGAACGCCAAAAAGGGTACCATGCAAAATGTGGTGAACATTCGCATACAGCAAACACAGGTACAGTTGTTGGGGGTGGAAAAAATCGGAAGGTCAGCTATACGCTCCTTATGTTTATAAAGAGCGAATTTTGAGTTATCAATAAGGTTATTTTACCTGTAAAAGGTTATTTTACCGGTAAGAGGTTATTTAAGGCCCAACGCAAAACAAACCGACATTGTATTTTAACAAAAACTCACAAAACAAAATTGTCGATTCAATACACAAAAGTAGGCTTTACGCGCGCCCACTGTTAATATGTCTATGTCCATAACTCTTTAAAGGAGCAAACTGGACATGTCAAAACTGAAAATTGTAAATATAGGTTTAGGTTATTAAAGTCGGTGCTGCCACACCACAAATAATACCTTTGCAAATCAATTACTTTTAAAAATGCATTTGCTAATTTTTACCTGTCAACATGGCGCCTTTTGGTATTTTGGCTCCTAAATCAATGTACTGTTGTGGATTTTTTAAGAAATTTACAAATTCCATAATTTCTATTTTGGCTTCTTCACAGCCTGCCACATCCCTTAAAATAAATAATAATTTAGTTGGTTTATAAAGCTATTGGTTTATAAAACAATCTTATAATATTAAATAATTAAATTAATGTTCCTATTAATAATGGTAAATATTTTGGTAAATATTTTTGGTGATGTAATGTGCCTATATTATGGACGACCCCTAAATACTATAATTTTTTATACCTAAACTTGACACCAATTTCATTGGAATTAATGAGCTTAGCTGTGCTTTCCATAACTCCTCCAAAGAGACCCCCCTTTCTGCCCTTTTTACCGCCCATCATCTCTGCTGATCTTCTCATCATGTAAATAAGAAAACCAATAACTAATATGGTAGGTAACATTCCTGACAAACTTGCAGCTTCAATTTCAGTTTTGTAAATTACTGGTACAAAATTTGGCGGTTCCACATTCATTTCTATTTGTGCATTTTCAAGATTTCTTTCAAATGAGTCTACACTACCAATGTTAAACCATAAAACACTCTAAAAAAATAAATACAACCTTAATATACCATCTATATTATACAAGTAGAAGCATTATTTTTTATAGATCACAGAATTTTAAAAATAAGTTAGTTTATTATAGGTATATAAATATTAAATAATGAAGGAATAAAATGTAGGGTTTGAAAAGTCATATACTATCAGAATATTATACAACTTATAACCAATTTTAGGTGCACTTACTTATTTTTAAGAGTTATATAACATGTTAAAAAAATGCCTTAATTAGGTTATTCATATTTACCGCTCCATCTACAGTGTTTCCAGGCATTAGGCGTACCCTAACCCATTTTTTATTCACCACCTCCAATTTCTCCACAATGCCTCTAGCTAGGTAACTAAAAATTAAAACTTATTAATTACATTTTAATACATATTTTAATATTAATTACGTATGGACAAATTCTTTCCAACCAATTTCTTTGTAGCCCATTTCCCACATTGTGACTGTTCCTAAGAATGCAATGGCTGCAGCGGCTCCTAAAATATACCATTTATCTCTTTCATTTTCTCCAAAAGGTTTTCCACCGCTTCCCCTAAAACGTTATTTTAAGACAGTTTTAGTAAGTTTTTAATTGTTTTTAACTGGATTAATTTATTTCAAAAAATGATTACAGGCAAAAACACGACCTGGGCAGAAAGAACAATATTAGAAATCTTGAATTCGAAATTCACGAGTGCATGATTATTACAATTTCCAAAGCAAAACTGATTACTCTAAAATAAAAAATCACCAGCATATCACTCTTTTGCCAGTAATAGGAAAAAATGTTGAAATCTCAACATATTTTACAAAAAGAAGTTGGCAATAAAATAGCCCTCCTTAAATCCGAACTGGTATTTAAGGAGGACTGTTTAACCATCCCTGCACTGACCATATTGAAGAACAATTTTGAAACAGACACACTAAATGGAAAAAAAATCGGCAGCACTGTTTCTTGACATGAGCAAGGCTTTTGATTCCATTAGGATAAAGGGTTTATTGTTCAAACTTTCTCACATAAAATGAACAAAACATCTAATTTACCTTTTATTTAAACTATTAAAAGATAGAACCCTTATAGTAAAGTCTGAATCTCCTACTCAAAAATTTTTGTCACAAAGCAAGGTTTTCCTTTTCCGCCTTTTCTCTATAACTTATTTTGTCACGACATAATATAGCCATCAATTTCCAAATAAAAAGTTTTGTATCCTATACACTTCAATTTGCTGATGATACAGTATTAATCTCTCATGAAAAATGTAAACTAGGCTGGGCCAAAAAAATATACTATTTTTTTTTTTTTTGAAAAGTATATCGAAAATATGGTTTGGGGTGACAAAAAAAATTATTGTGAAAGTTTGAGTCCATAATATTAATATTAAGAGGTCTATCATCGCAATTTTATTTTTTTTTCCTCAGCAAGTTTAACAAAATTGACTTAAAAATATTTTTTTAAGAAAATGAAATGCTCTACATAAAAGGTTTAAGTGAAATTTTCCGTCAGATGAACCGTTTCCTTAAAATCATGCCTTAAAAATTGGTATAGTTTTGCATTTTGATCTTTTAAATTGGAATTTTGTAATTCATGTAAAAATCAGTACCCATAAAAAACCGATACATATTCTTATGGGAAATCAAAGGCTACAAAAAAAGCCTCTCAACATTTTTGGCTAAATTCACTCAATCGAAAGTTATCCAAAGTTAAAATTTTGTTTTGACTTCAAATTTAACCTTGAATAACTTTTGATAGAGTAAATTTAGCCAAAAATGATAAAAGACTTTTTTTGTAGAGCATTTGATTTCCCATAAGAATATGTATCGGTTTTTTTCCGGGTACTGATTTTTACATGAATTACAAAATTCCAATTTAAAAGATCAAAATGCAAAACTATACCAATTTTTAAGGCATGATTTTAAGGAAACGGTTCATCTGACGGAAGATTTGGTCATGGATTTTATAAACAAAAAATGTCTTCCTAGGTTGCAAGAATAAATAAGGTAAAAAAGTTAGTTTTCTGTGCTATTTAAGCGGCAAAAGTTCAGATTCGATGAAGGACCTCTTAAAATTGAAATTATGAGCTCCGCTTTTAACAGAATATTTGTTCGGACATATTCTACAATATTTTGGGTGGAGAGCAAGAAAAAAAATATCGAGTTTTTTTGGCACACCCTAATATATATACAAGAACATTTATTTTTATATTATTAACTTAACTAAAAAGAGGGGAAAAATCAATGGAAAATTGATTCCAAATAAAGGAATCAAGTTCAAAATCAAATCAGTTTTGGCTGTTTAAATTACAAGAGGCTAAAGAAGGTTAAGGGAAACCTGAGGGGAAACCAAAGAGAAAATCACTGATAATCAGACCTTTCTAAATGTTTTGAAAGAATCATTATTAACTCGGTCATTCCTGATTTTCCTTTTTTGGGAATATCTGGGTCACTAAGAATCTCGTAAAATCGGCTTATATTGGAATGAATTGCCCCTCACGATTTTATTAAATTTTTAGTATTTTGACAGGAATTAATTTATAGGACACTTTATGTAATTTTAAGAAAGATGGTGATTCCAGGTGATTTAAGAGTTCAAACAGTTCCAAGTAAGTTTTGTGACATTTTGGCAAGGGGTCCACTATAAAATCAGCGAGACCCACGTTCAGCGTTATATGCATAGTCCATAGTAAATATATAGACGTTGTGCTCTGATTTTTGGTTATTTAAGCCTTATACAATCGTTATTAATAAGAAAATATCCTCTCAATAAGAAATTTCTCTTAGCAACGCGTTGCATAATATGCTACCCTTGTGATTTTTTTCTTAGCCGGTTAATTCGTATGCGATTTTTTATTTTAAACATACAGTGGTCAAACAAGCTGATGGCTGGTTGCACATATGTCTGTCGGTGCCTAAAGTCTATTCAAATCCAATCTGGACTAAACAAAAACGCCCAGACGCGTGATAACTCGTTTCTATTGGTCGATTCTGATGGTGTGACTCGGATTGTGAGCTCTTATTGGTCGATTCGGAAGATTGTGTCTACATTTAGTCCAGCTTGGATTTAAATAGACTTTAGTTAGGAACACATCTGTAACCAAACAAAGTGACAAGGTTTTTACTTTGCTCTTAGATCATTTTATAGTATTAGGCAACAAGTTTTATAAAAAGCATTTTAGACACAGGTTTTAATCAGGCAGAAACAAAAGTTGCGGAACGAGTTTTCAGAGAATTTTATAAAACGAGCAATCGATATGGAATTTAACTGTCAGATAGACTGGAACTTGACCAGAGATTAATAAACTGGCCCTTAAGAATGCATGCAGCCCCAGGTTTTAAGTTTGCGTTTCCATTACTCTTGGGGTGCATGCTCAGAATGGTCAATTTGAAAACACCTAATGTGTTTTTAAAAAGATCACTAAGCATCATAGAACATACAAAACTGTGGTAGTAGAAAAAAGATATTTTATTTAACAATACATGACCCTTTCAAGATAACTGTAAGGACATTTTATGAAACGCTTATGAAATTACAATTTAATTTTAAAAATTTTGTTTTATTTATAATTTGGTTAATTTTTAATGATTAATTATAAACATTTTATATCTAACATGTGTAATTTTGGGTTATTAAAAAAAGATAGATGGTTAAATGTCACAACATGACAAAATATTGCATAATATTTACCGAGATCCAGTTCCACCAAATAACCCAAACGACCATTGGTCATATGGCCTAGAACTCCCTGGTTGTGATGAAGGAGGCGGAGCTTTAGGCGCCGATTCTTTTTCTGGAATAGGTTTTGCATCTTTTCCTTTTACTTCTTTATTTTCGGGCTTACAATCTTTTGGTGCCTCTTTGCTACCAGGCTTAAAATATTTTTCAAAGCCTTTTGGCGGCTTCTCGCAAAACAATCTCCATTCGTTTAATACTGTTTTAAAAGTATAGTTTTTCTAAAATCAAAAAATGGAATACAAAATAGGTTATAAATACATTTTGACATACCTTTGGAATATTTACATTGTAATGTTTTAATGTCTTGCATAATAAATTTTCAAATTTTTTGCCACTATTTAAGAGCCGATATGCCATTACAACTTTTAAAAAAATAAAACCAATTGTCACCACATAACTTTCGCTAGATCCTAACCACAAAATTTTTCAGGGCCTTTTAATCAGGAATCTGTCGGTAAAACAGAACTTTCAAACGCCATCTTTTGTAAGTCAAATGAAAGTCAAAATTTTAAATACAGGGTGATAATATAATTATCTTGGACTGGAAAATAGAGTGATGAATTTATTTAAAAATATGCAATTTTAATTTTTAACTTTTGTTCTAAAAATTCATAATCCAAAATTTAGATTTCAAATTTAATTTAAAATAATTAGGTATTAGGTTACTAATAATCATATCCTAATAAATTTCCTTGAAACTCATGTAATGTATTTAATGTAAAGGGAGACCATTTACTCAATGGGGAGACAATAAAAAATACCTGGTAATAATTTAATAAAAAATATATTTTTAATAAGTTAACATTTAATGGGTAAAATTATGTATTTTATAATATTTGGTAGATTTTTACTCAAATTCTATCCTAAATAAACAAGTAAAACCCATACTTTTTAATACATTATCACAATAAATTATACACATGAATATAAAGTTATCTATTGCTTGGAGCATATAAAAACAATATAATCAAGACCCAAATATGAAGTAAAACCTATAACAAAAAAACATAATTATACAAAAAAAGCATTATTATATATGTTTAGTGAATACTATAAAAAAGCAAATATTTAGGTATTTTGGTTTCTAAAAAAAATTTGCTTTTTGATGAAATATTACCATCTGTAATAGTTTAAACTATAGTTTTTAAGTATACTTAAAAACCCTTATGTCAGTTTGAATACTTACCATATAACAAAAGATACAGACTCTAGCCACAGGATATCTCCTTAAAAAAATTCCAGTTCGGATGCTTACAGCATCAACAACTGAATAGGCATGCTTTACCCTTCTTGTAACTCCAGCATCCAACAAAGATGCCCTCAAAAAATGAGGTATTTGAGGTCTGTCATTTAAATCACCATTATCATTAACATTAATAATCTTGACTTGAGATTTTTGCAGTTGTGAATCTTTATAAAGTTTTTCCAATTTTTCAACTTGAAGTTTTAAAGCATTTCGTTCTGTAGTTGCTGTTTCCAGAGAACTTTGTTTTAACATTAAAGTTTGTGTTAAAGATTCTATTTGATTCTCAACATCCTTATCTGTTTTTAGTGTTAACTTTTTCTTTAACAATGTTTGTAATTTTATTATTTCAGTGTCTTTGGTGCTCAATAACTCTTGTAGTTTTGATAAATCTTGTTTCACTTCTTTTAATTTTAAAGCACAATCATCCTCAGCTGATTTTCTATATTTTTTTTCATTTAGTAAATTTTCTTCCAAGGTTAAGTTTGATTGGTGCAACCCATTCTGTATTATTTGATGTTGCATTTGAAGTGACTGAATATCATGTGTTAGTTTTTTATTTCTTTCCACCAACTCAGCATTTTTGTCTTGTTGAAACTTTAATTCTTCCTTTAAATTCTCATTGTAATTAGCATATATATCATCATTTACTTCTTTGTCATTTTCTTTAATAAACTTTTCTTTTTCTTGTAGTATTCTGTAAGCTCTAACCTTATACTGCTCCTTTGCTTTTTGAGTATTATCTAATTCTTCATTTAATCTTTGTATTTTTGACTCCAAATTAACTCTGTTATTACGTAATTCAGAATATAAATGTTGTAAATTTAGAAGTTGTCGATTTAAATCTTGATTTTCAAATTCCAATTTTGCAATTTTTTCATATAAACCTTCAGCTAATATAAAACTTTCTTGTATTGAATTAGTAAAAGATTCTGACTTATTGCTGGAAGGATTTATTTCAATGGAATGTGTACTCTTCTCAGATTGAACATTAAAACTAATGCCAACATTGTCACCCTGCATATCTTCAGTTTGTGATAAATTTGACAAACTTTTACTTAAATCCATACTATTTACATTAGATTCATTATTTGTTGACAAATTATTACTTAAGCTAAAAAACCTGAATTATTAAAAAATAAATAAAACGTCAAATACCATACCCTATATCATTTTCTTTACTTATTGTTAGCACAGTAGCAGCATTTTGATCAACCTTATTTAATAAATCCTCGGCCTTTCCAGCTAAATTTTGAAGCCATGCCATTTTTAATTTATCCTTAAAAACTACTTAAATATATCCCTAGTCAAGGAAAATATCATTTTGGGTTAAAAATTGTAACTTAAAATTGACAAATAAGTGACGTTTGCTTGGCAATTCCAGTCGATAAAATAGAATGCAATCTTGCATTTGTTGAACAAACTTTGTTCTCCCTTCGAAAAATGAAAAGTGTGCGTCGATTTATCAATTATTTTACGGCATAAGGCAAAGAAGTAATTTTTTCGGAAAGAAGAAAATTTAAATTTTGAGCTGGTTTAAAAGAAAAGGGGTTTGTTTTTTTTTTAAATAACAATTATAAATTATAACAAAAGTATTTAAAAAAGGTTATAGAGTAATTGCATCAAAAATGAAAATCCCTAAAAACCTTTTTATTGTAATCTAGAGGTAAAAACACATTGCGAAAATATTTTTTTATATTCCAAAAGTTCAACCCGGCCCCAAAATATCAAATTGAAAAAAAGGTACTTTTCAAACGTTCCGAACTCCCGCCATATTGCATGACGTCATAAGCTTCACCAGCTGTCAGAAATCAAGATGTCAACAAATAATAAACACCGATAAAGTTTATGTTTAACCACAATCCACACAACAAGGTCTGTTCGATCTTTATTCGCGCATGTTAAAAATCACAAAAGTAGGCAACCTAGTATACATTCCTACGTTAGTCGCCATTTTTTTTGTTTACAATTTCATTGTTTGCAATTATTGTGATGTTTTATGCGGATTTGTTATAGTTGTTTGGTTTTGTTCTTTATTATTGTGGATTATAGTGTAAAGTACTTTGGTTAGTGTTTAAAAATTCTTCTTTTGTTAGTGTGCTTCTGTTATTTTATTGGATTATTGTGGATTTTATTGACTGTACCAGTGTACTTGTGTGTTCCAAAAATTATGGTTTAACCAGTAAGTAAAACTATGGTAAAATGTTTCTCCATTTATATATATATAAATTTATTTATTTAGTGGCATGCTGTATGGTAAAAACTTGCAAGAATAATGACAGAAATAGTGATTTCACATTTTACAAATCTTATAATGTTAAAAAACATTTCCAGTTTCTTTAAAACTTAAAAAAAACTTTGTTTACTTCTTCGATGCCTGTTAGACAGAATTACTATTTTGAGTAATTTAAATTAACGGCGGCAAATAAATCAAATATGGCGGTAACCGTATGTGCGCATAACAGTACCGATTTTCGTTCGTATTTTAAGAAGATCGAACAGACCTTGTTGTGTGGATTGTGTGTTTAACATGGAAAACGTGAAACCAAAAATTGGTTGTAAATATTGTTTTGTGCCTTGTACAAATACAACCTGGAAAACTCCTGGGAAAAGGTTTATCACCGTGCCAAAAGGGAAAATAAGGATAAAGTGGATTAAAATAGCTCGGCGCGATATCAAAACATCGTCACCATTTTATTGCTCATTTTAAGGATCATTTTAATGTAAGTAAAATAAAATGTCGTTTACTATGTATATGGTTTGAATAGGTATGTTAAATATTAATAAATTCAAGAAAATACGGCTGAGCCGTAACTACTCTCAGTGTAGGGTGATAAACTTTGCTTTTGATAATTGAAGGGACAACTTTCCCAGGAGTTTTTCAGGTTGTATTTGTACAACAAGGCACAAAACAATATTTACAACCAATTTTTGGTTTCGCGTTTTCCATGTTAAACATAAACTTTATCGGTGTTTATTATTTGTTGACATCTTGATTTCTGACAGCTGGTGAAGCTTATGACGTCATGCAATATGGCGGGAGTTCGGAACGTTTGAAAAGTACCTTTTTTTCAATTTGATATTTTGGGGCCGGGTTGAACTTTTGGAATATAAAAAAATATTTTTGCAATGTGTTTTTACCTCTAGATTACATTTAAAAGGTTTTTAGGGATTTTCATTTTTGATGCAATTACTCTAATAGAGTAATTGCATCAAAAATGAAAATCCCTAAAAACCTTTTAAATGTAATCTAGAGGTAAAAAAATTTCACTATCACTAGTGCACTAAGGTATTTAGTGGAGGGCTAACAAATCACAGACACAACTTTTTTGACGTTTTATTTATAACCCTACTTTTATATTATGTTGTTTACTTCATTGTAAATTAAAAATATTATGGAAAATGATTTCAACCAACGCCAAAGCCACTCATGGTCTTCAAGAAATATTGTCAAAATTCGATGATGCTGATTTGCATATACTTACAACAACAGTGACACAGGGATTGCTGAAAAATAAAATTAAAAGCAGACAAGGTAATCAATAGATTTGGTGGAATTATGCTGAACAAATTAAGATTAATTTAACATAAATGCTTCCATTGTATAACATTCATCTTAACTTTTTAATGTTAATGTTAATTTGTGCTGCATAATTCCACCAATTATGTTGATAATTACATTTATCTTCTAACATAATATATCAATATTATTAGCCTCAACGCAGCCCTTAGAAGTTATTTATTATTTTATTAGTACAATAATATCTTTATTTTTCTAATACAATAATGAGATACATGAGCCGCTCAAGATGAGCGTATTTTATTATAATATGATAATATTATTATCTCTGCTTATGCCTTTAGAGAAAGCATTTGTTATTGACAGACTCATTCATATTAAGTTAAGTTTTTTAGTTTTTGTTAGAAGATAAAATAGTATATGTTATTCAGAGGAGAAAGACACTTCTCCTCCTAATGACATAATCTACTATTAATTATTGTATTGATTAATTTTAGAGGCTATAAATGCAATATTGCAATATTCACCTGATGCCCAAAGTATCTTAAAAAGAAAAATAGTTACAAAAGAGATATTATTCTCATATCTGCATGAACAAAATGTTCCTGTTCAGCTTCCTTTAAAAAAAACTGATCTTATAGAAAAAATAGCAGAATATTGGAAGTTGGAGAAAAGTTTACAATTTTTAACTTATAGTGATAGTGACCAAAGTAGTAATTTCTCAAGCAACTCGAGCAAGGAAAAAAATGATTCTGAATTGTTGATAGTTTCAAATGATAGTTCTGAAGTAAATACTGTTGAAAAAAATGGGACACAAGAAAGCAATGTGGAAGAACTGGCCAATCAATTTGTAAAATGGTTTTATTCAATGGTAAATGAAAAAGAAGATATTTCAGAACATTTTTACCCTGATGCCAAGTGTAAAATAACATGGTTTGACCAGGGAATAGAAACAACAAAAAATGTTGAGAATAATCCAAAAGACATTGATGAAGTTCTGAGGTACCTCAAGCTTCAAAATGACATGTACTTTAATCCAAACTTTTCTAAAAAAGCCATTCAAGGAAGAATGGATCCTCATGGATTAGTAATGGTTTTAGTTTGTGGCACACTGCATTCTAAAGATAATTGCATAGGTGTATTCGAACAAGTATTTGCTTTAGCTAGAGACCCTTTTTGTGATAATAATTGGAAAATTAAAAATACTGAACTAAATTTAAGAATTAAAATTGTGAATGCTTTACCCAGCTTAAGTGACAGTGAACTTACCAATAATGTATTATGTAGATTAGCAAAATAAATTTTAATCATTAAGTGTCATTTTTTATTTAATAATTTGTATAATTTATATACAGGGTGAGTCTTTTAACTTTAAAATATCTCAGTAAATAGCAGGGACCCGGACCGGACCGTTGTTAGACAGAAAAACGGACCGGAACCGATATTTATTTGTGGACCAGGACCATAACAGAACACATGCCTATTATTTTTAACGCTGTGAGTAGAGGCACGCTAAAGTGCCGCGATTCGTAATGTTAAAGGCACGTTACCCAGACTGCAATGAAGGTTCGAAAATATTCCAGGAATATTCCCTATCGCCTAGGAATAATCCGCTTCATTCTAGGAATATTCATTGGGAATATTCCTAGAATGATCCTCTAAAACTTCCAAGCATGATCTAAGAACATTTCCAGTGAATATTCATTAGTTTAGTTGCAATACCTCTCACCGGTGCTTACGCACGCTTGATAACTATATATGTATACCGATAGGTTCATAATATCAGTTGGAGATGTGCGTCTGTGCTGGCACAGCTAAACAATGATTAGAGTGGGACTGATCTACTCAGTAACTCAATAATGGCTATACTTAAGTTAAGTTCCTGGGTATAAGAGGCAATAAGGGCTGGGAATAATCCCCAAATTATATCAAGGAATATTCCCCTAACAATCCTTGAGTCTTCTGCAGGCAGATATATGGAATATTCTTTTTATCATGCCTGGGTTAACCAAAAAGCGGACATTTGATTATGCCAGGAATATTCCTGGGAATATTCTGGGACGCTTGTAATATTCCTGGGAATATTCCTGACATGTGCAGGGAATGTGATTTTGCGGTCTGGGTTAGTTACGTCATAATTTTAAGATTTTATGATACGATAAAACTAAAACAACCCAAGATACATACACCTTAAGATAGGATGGTGAGCATGTTGGGCGGGGTTAAATACGTCTCTTGTTTATTTTTATATCTTTAATTATCTGCTGCTAAAATTCTTGTTTTTGCGATGCTGTTGGATGTTAACTTGCTCTATTTTTTTGTTTAACTTGTTTTAGCGTTCGGTAAGGTCGAATTACTTTTCAGTGTTATCCCAATTGCTTAAGCAGCATTTTTGGTTCCAAAAACCATTACCAAAGTGGTGATAACTTTAAATTAGTAAAGTATACAAACAGCTACTTTAATTTTTACTTAAAAGTAATTCTAACTTTTAAATAACAATATTTTGTAACAGAAACTTCATTCTTTCCTTAAATGGTTACTATAAAGTAATAAACATTTAAGTATACTTTTATAAAACTTGGTTGCCCCCAAGAAGACTTTGCAACTTTAAAAAAGGTGTTATTATTTTAGTATTTGGAACGTTTATGGTTCTAACCAAAACAACCGTAAAGTGGAAATAACTTTAAAGTAGCGAAAACTACTTCAAAGGAAAATGCTTCTTATCGGCCATTTTTTACTGTACGGTACCACGTGGTAATGTAAATAATAAATTATTTTAATTGTTTGTAAATGGTTGTTTACCTTTTAATAAATAGTAATTTTGTTGGTAATATATATATATACCGTATAATATATTGGTAATATATATATATATATATATACATCCCGCTATACTTATGGCGTCCATACATTGACGTATTACATTGGATATGGCGTCCGATTGACATACGGCTTCCGTATATGGACGCCATATCGACTACCCACACAATTCAGTTTATTTTTTAGTAAAAACATTTCTGGTAAAATTTCATCGGGACGCCACATGATCGGTGTTATGTACGTTTTTGTATATTTTAGTTCTGCATTATTACGCTTGGCTTAGTTGCGCTCTAGTCGACCGTCTGTATATTCATTATTATTCCGTTTTCATGATTTCGCATATTTGGCGTCCGTAAAATTGGCAACCATGGATCATTTAATTTAATTTTATTATTTTAAATGCGTTCGATGTTTTGAAGCGTTTTTATGAGATTTTAAGGGCGCAATATCACTATGTATAATGTACGAGTACGTTTTAATAATTATAATTTTATAAGTACTATTATATTATTTAAATGGATGGTTTTACGAAAAAAATTTGAAAGATCTTTTTTGTAGAGCATACAATTTTCTACAAAAATATCTACTGTGTATTGCTTCATGTATATTTTATTAAAAATTATTTTTTGTAATTGTTTTTAGACTGTAAACAAATAATTTAGATTACTTATACCAAAGTGAAAAAAACAACTTGGGAAACAACGGACACCCTAATATTCACATTCATATCTACTTCTCATATTAATCAGGGGTCTAATATCAAAAACGGTAAAGTCACATATTTTGTACTGTCAATTTCCATCAGATTTTTCAAAATTTTCAACAGTAATATTACTAGTGAGAATAAATTGAAAATAATTTGACAGGTATCTATTTCGAAAATTTGTTGTCCATAGGGCTTGCCTGGTTATTGCCTTATGACAACAAGTTTGAGAAATATCTGAAAAAATATTTTCTAATTTATTGAACTCTCAACTGGTATTCTGATAGATGATTTTTTGACATGTAGGTATTACTAAATTAGAATTTACTTAATATAACTTACTAATTTGGGTGTTTTGGATAGGATACCTATAGTATAGTATACTGACAGTCTGTCAGTGACAGATTTTATTTTAATGACAGATGCCGTTTTGTTTTCGCGGTAATGCATGCATCTTATATCTTATAGTATACTATAATAATGTTTTGATTGAATAAAAAATACACACATAAAATTTTATTGTTTTTTAGAAACGTCAAAAAATAATCCAAAAAATATGTGTCCAGTGCCGTACTTAACTAATGTTGTTGCACATATTACTAAATTAATATTTAAATATTTATTATTATTATATAATTTATTAAATATCTTTTTCGCAAGAAAATACTTTATAATAGCGTATTTTTAAAATATCTCTTAAATGGACATTGCTGGGTTATTACTCCACTGAAATGCCGCCTGGGTGGTCGAATATATTCTCCGATGAAAATTAAATCAGTGTTGCCAATTGCGATGTAATTTATTGACTGTGGTGTAATTTTCTAACATTTTTTAATGCGGTGTAATTTGGGTGTTATTTTTGAGGAATCAGTTAAATTGTACAGGGTGGTTCACGTAAGGTGACCCATATACTTATCTCAGAAACTACTGGAGTCACAAAAAATTTGTAAGAAACAAATATTCATATTTTCATTTATACATGGTGTTCGGTTTTCCTTGGGACGATATATCGGTATACCAACTTTCTTATTTTCAATGAAACACCCTATATTTTTTTTGCATTTTTGGATTCGAATCCAAGATCTACACACTATTTTAGGTATACTTGTAAATGTAAATATATTAATTAAGAAAATGTTACTTTTTGAGTAAAATTGTCACAAATTATGGGACCCCCCCCCCTTCCCATTGGCGTCACGTCACACTGATGTAATTTTTATGTAAGGTCTACCCCACGAAATTTTTGCTTAAAATAAAATCTTAATATCCAAAATATTTTTATAATTTTGTGACATCACAACCTCCCAAACCCCCCCCCCCCCCGGCTGTCACAAACTGTCACATTTTCGACGACCCCCCTCCCCCCTAAGTGTGTGACATCATTTATGGACGGCCCCTAAGTATATGGGTCACCTTTACATTACATTAATCATCCACTTTTAAATTTTTACAATGAAAAAATAGTATGGCAAGATGAGTATTAACAAAGGGTCCTAATAATTATATAAACTATTATATTAACTTTAACAACATTAATTATATAAAATTCCTTTCTTACATCTAACTAACCTGAACACTGACCATTGTTCAACTTTTACGGAAGGAAGGGATGAAGGAAGGAAGGCAATCTATAAATCAGGCTTAAAAAATTTTAATACTAAGATTTTTGATATACAAGGTGTCCCTAAACTTATTGGCATAAATTTAGGAAAAGATTGAGCAAGTAAAAATAAGACAAAAACCTAAATAAATATTTTTCCTAATTACTTATGTTTCCAAGGTACAGGGTGATAAAGTGTTACTTATCATATCAGTTTTTTTAATATAACTTCTACTATGATAGTCTTGGAAAGGTTATATTTTGCGAACAGTCACTTACTACCAAAACACATATTCACACATAATTACAATTGTTTGAGTGAACACAGTGTCGTAGAAACAGGGGTTGATTTAAGCTTATTGTCCCATACAAACCTTGAGGTAAGGTTTTTGTAACATTTGATGCAACTTTTCGATTACACAGTTCGGCTACCATTTAAAAGGTGTACCTATCAAACTTCGATAAAATAAACCGTTTCCGAGATATTCGAGATTACAATAATTGTTATATCGCAATATTTAAAAGGATTAAAAGGTATATGATAACAAATTTTATTTTTTAATTAAAAAAACTAAAAAGGGCATTCTGTGAGCCTCGGGACTTTTTGCCCTGACCGTCACAAAAAATTGTAGTTTTTTCAATTAAAAAATTTGTTATTTTATACCTTTTAGTCCTTTAATGCGATATAACAATTATTGTAATCTCGAATACAACGGTTTATTATATCGAAGTTTGAGAGGTACACCTTTTTAATAGTAGCCGAACTGAGTAGTCGAAAAATTGCATCAAATGGTATTAAAACCTAACCTCAAAGTTTGTATGGGACAATAAGCCCAAGCAACCCCTGTTTCTACGACACTGTGTTCACTCAAACAATTGTAATTATGTGTGAATGTGTTTTGCTAGTAAGTGACTGTTCACAAAATATATTTTGTTTGTAATATATTACCTTTCCAAGTCTATCAAAGTAGAAGATATATTAAAAAATATGATATGATAAGTAACACTTTATCACCCTGTATCTTTTAAACAAACGTAATTAGGAAAAATATTTATTTAGATTTTCGTCTTATTTTGACTTGCTTAGATCTTAATAATTATTAAAGTTTTAAGTTTAAAAATTATATTAACCACCCGACAAAGTGTTAATAATAATATATAATTATTATGACTGCCAGATATTATTTTAAA